TTTCTTGCAAACTCAATTGAAGGGAGACAAGCAAAGGTACAAGCCTCAATTTAGCTGACAAAAGACCCAGGGTGGCTATTTGAACTGGGAAATTGTTCCCACTTTACAGTGGGGGGGGGAATAAAAATAATAGGCCTGCACCCCCTCCTGCTATTTAAGCAGCCTGCGGGGAGGAAATCTTCTGTAGCAGGCAGCTGTTGGATGGGGAGATGAGATTATGGAGGGGGGGGAAGAGGAATTAAGCCCCCACCCCATCTAACTGCCTCTCTATCGTCTAATTTTGAGCTAAATTTAGAAGGCAGGCTGTCCCATAAAAGGGACCTCTGGCCCGGAATGTATAAAGCAGAGAATTACTTAGAAAAGAGAATAACAGGGTTGGAAGGGACCTTGGAGGTCATCTAGTCCAACCCCCTCCTCAGGCAGGAGACCCTATACCATTTCGGACAAATGGCTGTCCAGTCTCTTCTTAAAAACTTCCATTGTTGGAGCATCCACCGCTTCTGGGGGCAAGTTGTTCCACTGGTTAATTGTTCTGTCAGGAAATTTCTCCTTATTTTTAGGTTGGATCTCTCTTTAATGATCTTCCACCTGTTACAGACAGCCCTCGACTTGTGGTGAGAAAGGTCGTAAAATGGGGCAAAAGTCACTTAACAACTGTCTTGCTTAGCAACAGAAAATTTTGAACTCAACTGTGGTCGTTAATTGGAGATCTATTTCTACCTCTTGTCCGCATCCAGCTAGCCTGCTTTAAGAGGGGTGGGCTTCAGCTCCCAGAATTCCCCAGCCAGCCTGCTTTAAAATGGGTGGACTTCCACACCCAGAATTACCCAGCCAGCCTGCTTTAAGAGGGGTGGACTTCAACTCCCAGAATTCCCCAGCCAGCTGCTTTAAGAGGGGTGGACTTCAACTCCCAGAATTCCCCAGCCAGCCTGCTTTAAAATGGGTGGACTTCCACTCCCAGAATTCCCCAGTCAGCCTGCTTTAAGACGGGTGGACTTCAGCTCCCAGAATTCCCCAGCCAGCTGCTTTAAGATGGGTGGATTTCAGCTCCCAGAATTCCCCAGCCAGCCTGCTTTAAGTTGGGTGGACTTCAACTCCCAGAATTCCCCAGTGGCATGCTGTGATGAATGGACTTCAGTGCCCAAATTCTCTAACCAGCATGCTTTAAGAGGGGTGGACTTCAACTCCCAGAATTCCCCAGCCAGCATCCTGGCTGGAGAATTCTGGGACTTGAAGTTCACCCACATTAACATTGCTGAGATTGAGCCTCTTTTAATCATTCCCAATATCCCTCTTGATGCCTCCCATTGGGGGGGGGGGAGTAGAGGCTGACCTTTGCTCCTGGCCCAGGTGTAGGTGTGATCCATCCCACTGCCCCGGAGTTCCAGTGATGGGGGTGTCAGGCGAGGAGGAGGGGGCCGAAGGTGGATCTCCTTGGCTTTGCTGCCGCCAGTGCCGCCACTGTTCCCTTTTAAGGGCAGGATGCATTTCGGGAGACCTTTGTAGAACCAGGCCCCAGATCGCTTCCAGACCTGAAGAGATTGAAGAAAGAAAGAAAAAAAAAAAAGGATTTTTAGTGTTCTGAATGCTGATTTGTGTTTATTTATTTCCGATTTTATTGAGCCCTCGTTTGTGTCTTTTATTTTTAATTTAGTTACTGAATACTCTTTTGCTTTTTTTGTTTTGTTTACGAGTAGAATAGAATAGAATAGAATAGAATAGAATAGAATAGAATAGAATAGAATAGAATAGAATAGAATAGAATAACAAAGTTGGAAGGGACCTTGGAGGTCTTCTAGTCCAACCCCCTGCTCAGGAAGGAAACCCTACACCATTTCAGACAAATGGCTGTCCAGTCTCTTCTTAAAAACTTCCAGTGTTGGAGCATTCACAGCTTCTGGAGGCAGGTGGTTCCACTGGTTAATTGTTCTAACTGTCAGGAAGTTTCTCCTTAGTTCTAGGTTGCTTCTCTCCTTGATCAGCTTCCATCCGTTGCTTCTTGTCCTGCCTTCAGGCGCTTTGGAGAAGAGCTTGACTCCCTCTTCTTTGGGGCAGCCCCTGAGATATTGGAAGACTTGCTATCATGTCCCCCCTCGTCCTTCTCTTTGTTAAACTAGACAGACCCAATTCCAGCAGCCGTTCCTTGTATGTTTTAACCTCCAGTCCCCTGATCATCTTTGTTGCTCTTCTCTGTACTCTTTCTAGAGTCTCAGCATCTTTTTTATATCGTGGTGACCAAAACTGGATGCAGTATTCCAAGTGTGGCCTTACCAAGGCCTTATAAAGTGGTATTAATACTTCACGTCATCTTGATTCTATCCCTCTATTAATGCAGCCTAGCACTGTGTTGGCTTTTTTGGCAGTTGCAGCACACGGCTGGCTTCTACTTAAGGGATTGTCCACTAGGACTCCGAGATCCCTCTCTCAGTTGCTACTATTGAGCAACTATACTATACCTGTACATTTGGTTTTTCTTGCCTAAATGTAGAACCTTACTTTTTTCACCACTGAATTTCATTTTAATAATAATAATAAAGTTGGAAGGGACCTTGGAGGTCATCGAGTCCAACCCCCTGCTCAGGCAGGAACCCTACACCATTTCAGACAAATGGCTGTCCAGTCTCTTCTTAAAAACTTCCAGTGTTGGAGCATTCACCGCTTCTGGAGGCAGGTTGTTCCACTGGTTAATTGTTCTGACTGTCAAGAAGTTTCTCCTTAGTTCTAGGTTGATTCTCTCCTTGATCAGTTTCCATCCGTTGCTTCTTGTCCTGCCTTCAGGCGCCATGGAGAACAGCTTGACTCCCTCTTCTTTGGGGCAGCCCCTGAGATATTGGAACACTGCTATATTTTGTTAGATAGCGCCCAGTGTTCAAGTCTGTCCAGATCCTCCTGTATTTTAAGCCTGTCTTCTGGAGTGTTGGCTATTCCTGCCACTTATTAAATGGGGCAAAACTCACTTAATTAGCCACAGAAATTTTGGGCTCAATTTTCGTCATAAGTCGGGGTCTAGCTGTAAATGCATTCTACCGAAAGCCAAGGAGAACTTTTTTGGACATTCAGCTTAAAACTAAAGCCAAGAGAAAAATAATTTCAGTTAAAAGAGGGTCAAAACCTCGCAGCTGATAAGATGACACGAAAGCCAGTTGCCAAACTCACTGCGGCCACATTTTTCAAGAACGCAGATTTTAATATAGAGATTGGGGACAAAGGGAACTTATTAAAACATATTTAATCTATACAGCTTCGCACAAAAGGACGAGCAATTTTCACAGAAAGAACAGGGAAAATTTGAAACTCAATTTAATTTCTACCCTCCAGCAAAAGCTAATCAAAAACTCAACGAGACACTCGGAGAGCACACTTTAAACACAAACGCACTCGCGCACGCACCCCCCCACACACCACAAAATACTTTAGACCTATGGAAACTGTGCCAGATAAATTATTTTCCCCTTCGAGAAATTTATTTCCGGGGGAAAAAATGTGAGTTGTTGCTCACCAGATTAGAACAGACTGAATTCCTGCCTCAAGATATTTATCCTTTAAAATTGGACAAGAAAAGACAGCAAGGAGAAATGAACGTGTAGTTGATATCATGGTAGGAAACAACTAATATATATATATATATATTGATTATCCAATCCTCAAAGGATTCCAGATCAGTGTATGTCACACTTTTGGTTCATCTGTTGTCATCTAAAGCAGAGGCCTCCAAACTTGGCCATTTTAAAAGTTGTGGACTTCCAGTCCCAGAATTCCCCAGCCAGCCTGCTTTAAGATGGGTGGACTTCAGCTCCCAGAATTCCCCAGCCAGCATGCTTTAAGAGGGGTGGACTTCCACTCCCATAATTCCTCAGTCAGCATGCTTTAATATGGGTGGCCTTCCACTCCCAGAATTCCCCAGCCAGCATGCTTTAAGATGGGTGGACTTCAACTCCCAGAATTCCCCAGCCAGCTATGTTGGCCAGGGAATTCTGGGAGTTGAAGTTGGCACATGTTAAAAGGGCCAAGCTTAAGAAATTGATCCAAATAATCTCGCCTGACAAACAGCAAGTGCAGATATCAACCACCGCAACCACAATTGTGGAATTGTGGTCCCATCAGAACTCACCTCTCTCTGCTCGCTGCAGATCTTACAGAACCAAACGGTCCGTTTGTGGGGACCCGGCGTTTCTATGCCACACTTTGTGCAAACTTTCTGGGGAGACAGAGAGAAAAATCAATCAATCCAAAAGCTGGTGACCCCACTGGGTAAGTTTGGGTGGGTGGGTCGGGACGTGAGGGAGAAAAGCAACCATCTCTAAATCAGGGGTCTTCAAACAAGTCATAAAAGGGCCAAGTTTGAAGACCCCTGGTCTGGATCCAAGCCCGCAGTTTCATCAAAATGGCCGACTGAGGAATTCTGGGAGTTGAAGTCCACCAGTCATCAAAGGGCCGAGTTTGAAGACCCCTGCTCTAAATTGTGGGACAGGTCTTGCCTCTTGAAAAGGACGACGTTGAATCCTATAAATATTAGTTGCAAAAACAGATTTCCCCCAAATTTTCAGGGAGTCCTCGACTTATGACAATCAAGCCCTCAATTTCTGTCGGTAAGCAAGGTGGTTGCTAAGTGACTTTTGCCCCATTTTACAACCCTTCTTGACACCGGTTGTTAAGTGAAGCACTGCACTTGTTAAGTGAATCGTGTGGTCCTTAAAAGTGAATCTGGCTTCCCCAATTGACTTTGCTTGGCTGGGAATGTCGCAAAAGGGGAATTTCTTGATCGGTTACCAAATGCTCAAGTTTTGATCATGTGACCATAAGGGGGCTGCAATGGTCGTTAAGTCTGAAACGCAATCACAAGTCATTTTTTTACAGTGCTGCTGTAATTTTGAATGGACACTAAACTTAAAAATTGCCTTGGTTAACAACGGAGATTTCAGTTGTAATCGTAAGTTGAGGACGACTTTCTTAATTTAGGATCTGAAGCCTCCTTCTAACTATTGGAACTTCGACCCCAAAGCCTTTTCCCACAATGCACCTGAGGTAGCAGCCTCTCTCGAGGGCATTGTGGGAGGTTCCAATATAGCAGCATGATCTCCAGGTAGTCCTGACTTATGACCAGGCTCTTGGTGACTATTTGAAGTTACCCTGTGGTAAGATGGCTGGCAGAAAGAAAGAAAGAAAGAAAGAAAGAAAGAAAGAAAGAAAGAAAGAAAGAAAGAAAGAAAGAAAGAAAGAAAGAAAGAAAGAAAGAAAGAAAGAAAGAAAGAAAGAAAGAAAGAAAGAGATAGAGAGGTGGAAAGAAGGAAAATAGATAAAGAAACGAAGGAAGGAAGGAAGAAAAAAGGAAGGAAGGAAGGAAGGAAGGAAGGAAGGAAGGAAGGAAGGAAGGAAGAAAGAAAGAAAGAAAGAAAGAAAGAAAGAAAGAAAGAAAGAAAGAAAGAAAGAAAGAAAGAAAGAAAGAAAGGTGGAAGAAAGGAAAATAGATAGATCGAGAAAGAAAAAAGAAAGAAAGACAGAAAGAGAGAGAGAAAGGTGGAAAGAAGGAATATAGATAGGTAGAGAAAGAAAGAAAGAAAAACAGACAGACACAGAAAGAAAGAAAGAAAGAAAGAAAAAAGAAAGAAAGAAAGAAAGAAAGAAAGAAAGAAAGAAAGAAAGAGAGAGAGAAAGAGAGAGAGAAAGGTGGAAGAAAGGAAAATAGATAGGTCGAGAAAGAAAGAAAAAAGAAAGAAAGAAAGAGAGAGAGAAAGGTGGAAAGAAGGAATATAGATAGGTAGAGAAAGAAAGACAGATAGACAGACACAGAAAGAAAGAAAGAAAGAAAGAAAGAGAAAGAAAGAAAAGGAAAGAAAGGAAGAAAGGAAGAAAGAAAAAGAAAGAAAGAAAGAAAGAAAGAAAGAAAGAAAGAAAGAAAGAAGGAAAGAAAGAGAAGGAAAATAGATAGGTCGAGAAAGAAAGAAAAAAGAAAGAATGCATGAAAGAAAGAGAGACAGAAAGTGGAAAGAAGGAAAACAGATAGGTAGAGAAAGAAAGAAAGAAAGAAAGAGAGAGAAAGGTGGAAAGAAGGAAAATAGGTAGAGAAAGGAAGGAAGGAAGGAAGGAAGGAAGGAAGGAAAATAGATAGGTCAAGAAAGAAAGAAAAAAGAAAATGCATGAAAGAAAGAAAGAGAGACAGAGAGAAAGTGGAAAGAAGGAAAATAGATAGGTAGAGAAAGAAAGAAAGAAAGAAAGAAAGAAAGAAAGAAAGAAAGAACATTTATTTACAACCTGGATTTGAAATTCTGATACCACCCAATCACATGACTGCATTTGGAGTGATGAGCAATTGGTCCATACATACGGTTGTTTGTTAGCATCCTGCGGTCACATAATCATGATTTACAACATGTTTGCCCCAAACCGATATTTACTTTCGGTTTCTGGCAATGAACGCCCATTATGGACAAGAGATTCATTTAACGACCGCCGTGCTTGCTTTGCAACCGCGCAGCATTCGCTTAAAAACTACTGCAAAAAAACCCAAAAAATACCCCGGCATAAAATCTGGGACAGTTGCGCAATGACCCACTTAACGACCAGGCTCAATGATGGTCGTAAGTGGAGGACCGCCAGTATTTAAACCCAGACCTGGATGAATACTGTAGGATCACCCATAATCGGGGTCCTTCTGCTTATGCCCAGAAGGAACCGCAAAGGCAATATTAGCCTTTTATGAGTTCGTCTGATTTCGGGATCAGTCAGCAAAAGCCGAGACAGCCGGTGTTTTTTCCAGCCATCTGGACAATCCGAACGGGCCCGCAGGGCAAAGAAGCACAGGAAGATTTGAAAAGGGCTGTGAGGCCGAACCGAAGGAATAAAATCAAATGGAGCACTCAATAAAAGAGGGGAAAAAACAAAAATCAATCCACAGCAAGATGGATTATTAACCATTTCCCTGCAAGCCGCCTGTAAATTAATGCTGCCAGCCATATCCACAGCAGGCACAGATGGAATAGGATGCCGATCAGGAACGGGGGGGGGGGGGTTGAAAAGAGTCAACCGGGGGGGGGGATTGTCTAATCCCCAAAAAGGTTCTACATTTAGGCAAGAAAAACCAAATGGACAGCTACAGTATAGGTCAGGGGTAGGCAACCTTGGCTCTTTTATGACTTGTGGACTTCAACTCCCAGAATTCCTGAGCCAGCCATGCTGAGGGGAAAGGGAGAGGTTTCCATGCTGAGCCATGCCGGCTCAGGAATTCTGGGAGTTGAAGTCCACGAGTCATAAAGCAGCTAAGGCCTAGGGCGGTGGTACCTGGCTCAATAGTAGCAACTGTGAGAGGGACCTCGGAGTCCTAGTGGACAATCCCTTAAATAGGAGTCAGCCGTGTGCTGCAGTTGCCAAAAAGGCCAACACAGTGCTAGGCTGCATTAACAGAGGGAGAGAATCAAGATCACGTGAAGTGTTAATACCACTTTACAAGGCCTTGGTAAGGCCACACTTGGAATACTGCATCCAGTTTTGGTCACCACGATGTAAAAAAGATGTTGAGACTCTAGAAAGAGTGCAGAGAAGAGCAACAAAGATGATTAGAGGACTGGAGGCTAAAACATATAAGGAACAGTTGCAGGAATTGGGTATGTCTAGTCGAATGAAGAGAAGGACGAGGAGGGACACGATAGCAGTCTTCCAGTATCTCAGGGGTTGCCCCAAAGAAGAGGGAGTCAAGCTATTCTCCAAAGCACCCGAAGGCAGGTCAAGAAGCAACGGATGGAAACTCATCAAGGAGAGAAGAAACCTGAAACTAAGGATAAATTTCCTGACAGTGAGAACAATTAACCAGTGGAACAGCTTGCCACCAGAAGTTGTGAACGCTCCAACACTGGAAGAGATTGGATAGCCATTTGTTCAGAATGGTATATATGGTCTCCTGCCTGAGCAGGGGGTTGGACTAGAAGACCTCCAAGGTCCCTTCCAACTCTGCTATGAAAACTTGCCCTCTGCCCCAAAGGTCAGGAGCTGCGTGACTACTTCTCCAAAATACAAGCTTCCCCTAGCCAGGTTGGTTTCTTGTGCATTGTGCCAAGCTGGGCAACATGGTTGCAGGGGTCCCCTGCTCTGGGGGCTTGTATGAGGCTGGGGGCCACATTCACAGGAACCTTTCCGGGTTCTCCAATAGGTTCTCCTCCCTCACTGGATTCCCCGGCAGAGAGATAAAACAAAATACAGGCAAATCCTCAAATTACAACTATAATTGAGCCCCGAATTTATGCGGCTAAGTGAGAAATTTATTAAGTGAATTTTGCCTCACTTTACGACTTTTCTCGCCGCAGTTGTTAAGTGAATCGCTGCAGTTGTTAAAGTAGTAACACGGTTGTTAAGTGAATTCTGGCTTTCCCCATTGACTTTGCTCGGCGTAAGGTCACAAAATGGGATCACGTGACCTCCCGGGACACTGCAACCGTCATAAGTACATGCCAGTTGCCAAGCCTCTGAATTTTGAGCACGTGACCACGGGGACGGTCAGATTCATTTAACGACCATGTTACCCACTTAACGAGCACACCGATTCACTTCACAACTGCGCTGCAACAGTTACAAGTGTGAAACACGACCATACGCTCCCTTTTTTTTAGTGCCACTGTAACTTTGAACAGTCATTAAATGAACCATTGTAAGTCAAGACTATCTATAGATAGTCCTCGATTTACGATGACAGCTGAGACCAGAATTTCCCATGGCTAAGCAAAGAGGCAGTTAGGAGAGTTACGGCCAATGTTATCACACGGCTGTTAAGGGAGTCACTGCAGTCGTTAAGCGAATCACAGGGTTGTTAATTGAATCCACTCCCCCCACTGACTTTGCTTGTCGGAAGCCAGCGGGGAAAGTCCCAAATGGGGATCGCGTGATCCCCGGGATGCTGCAACCGTCATAAATACATGCTGGTTGACCAGCGCCTGAATTTTGATCACGTGACCACGGGGAATGTTGCGACGGTCATAAGTGCGAGGACTCGTTGTGACCATTCTTTTCCAGTGCCATTTGCGCAAAGTTGTACGGCGGCTAAATGAAATGGCTTTCCGTGAAAGCAAATTCACTGAGCTTACTCCAAAGTGCATCCGAAGGAGGTGGAAAAGAAGGTGATGGGATGTGTAGGATAGTTGGAAAGGAGGAAGGAGGGGAGGAAGGAAGAGGGAAGGTAGGAAGGTTGAAGGAGTGAGGGGGGATGCGGGGGGGGGAATATATTGACTAGGTTTTCTTTTTGTTTTTTAATGAAATGCACCACATTTGTATTTGTTTATATGTTTATTTGAAAATTAATAAAAAATTGCAAAACCAAAATTACTCAGCAATTTTGCCCTCTTATTCGGAACCCAGTTCCGGTTTTCTAATGTTACTCATCTCTGTAAAAAAAATAGGATCATGCTAAATTGCATTTGGATATCGAGTCCTCCCTCTGGTGGAGCTTATAAAATTTGCAAATCCAGGAACGTGCTTTTTCCTTTGTCGTTACTTAAAAAAAAAAAACACACACACACAACATGCTACACTATTTAAAAAACAACAACCTTGCAATGTCACCCGGGAAACAACAGGACAAGAAAGGCCTGGGAGACGGAAGAGGGAGGGAGGGAGGGAGGGAGAGGGAGGGAGGGAGAGAGAGAGAGAGAATAGATGGGTGGGTGGATGGATGGATGGATGAATGAATGAATAAATAAATTTTGCAGAGATTATTGACAGTTAATTAAAACAATTTAAAAATAAAATAAAACAAAACAGAAAGCCTTGGGGGAATCTTCCAAAATGCTAATTTTAACATTTCAAAGGGAGGACCAAGAATAATTGGGAGCCTTTTTTTTAATCTATAGCCTAATTAACTGCAGGATATCTGCTTCTATTCATGTCAGCTGTGTGAGAAGGTGGGAGGGGCAGAGCAGGAAGAGGCCTAGGAGAATGGCCAGACCACCCACTCATCCCCAGCCACCTGTTGGACTACAAATCCCATCACTCCAAAACGGCAGGTCATCCTCAATTTACAACCTTTCGCTGACTGACTTTTCAAAGTTATAACGGCCCTGGAAACAAGAGGCTTAACGACCGTTTTTCACGCTTGGCCTTGTGATGGCGACACGATCAAAATTCGGGCACTTGGCAACTGGCTCGTATTTATGACGGTTGCGGTGTTCCGGGGTCATGGGATCATCTTCTGGCAAGCAAAAGTCAGTGGGGGAGCCGGATTCACTTAACAACCGTGTGACTCACTTAACAGCCGTGGCAGGAAAGGTTGTAAAATGTGGCAAAACTCACTTAAACAACTGTCTCACTTAGCAGCAGAAATTTTGGGCTTGAGTGTGGTTGCAGAAGCTGACTCTCCCTTCTCTCCCCCCCTACCCTTTACAACAGGGGTCTTCAAACTTGGCCCTTGTATGACTTGTGGACTTCAACTCCCAGAATTCCTGAGCCAGCATGGGGTAACTATGGCCCTTTTATGACTTGTGGACTTCAACTCCCAGAATTCCTGAGCCAGCATGGGGTAACTATGGCCCTTTTATGACTTGGGGACTTCCAACTCCCAGAATTCCTGAGCCAGCATGGGGGAACTATGGCCCTTTTATGACTTGTGGACTTCAACTCCCAGAATTCCTGAGCCAGCATGGGGGAACTATGGCCCCTTCATGACTTGTGGACTTCAACTCCCAGAATTCCTCAGCCAGCATGGGGGAACTATGGCCCCTTCATGACTTGTGGACTTCAACTCCCAGAATTCCTCAGCCAGCATGGGGTAACTATGGCCCTTTTATGACTTGGGGACTTCAACTCCCAGAATTCCTCAGCCAGCATGGGGGAACTATGGCCCCCTCATGACTTGTGGACTTCAACTCCCAGAATTCCTCAGCCAGGCTGCAGCTGCCAAAAAGGCCACCGCAGTGCTGGGCTACATTAACAGAGGGAGAGAATCAAAATTACAGGAAGTGTTAATGCCACTTTACAACACCTCGGTAAGGTCACACTTGGAATACAGCATCCAGTTTTGGTCACCACGATGTAAAAAAGATGTTGAGACTCTAGAACAGTGATGGCGAACCTTTTACAGACCGAGTGTCCAACCTGCAACCCAAAATCCACTTATTTATCGCAAAGTGCCAGGGCGAGGCAGGGAGGCGCCTCTGAGTGCCGCCTCTGGCACGCAAAACCCAGGGGCGCAAAAATGGGCCACTGTGCTGCAAGGCACAAAAATGGCCGCCGCCGCACCATGGGGTGCAGATACAAAGGGCTGCACCATGCAAGAATGGGGCAGGGCTAGTTAGTATCATGCCTCGAGCTTGCTAGTCGGCCGCTTCACCTCCTTTGTGCTGGGCGGGGCTCCTGCCTGATGGACCTGCTGCTGGTGGCGGTGGTGCGTGTGCCAACAGAGAGGGCTCTGAGTGCCATGTAGGTATGCCACCACTGCTCTAGAAAGAGTACTGAGAAAAGCAACAAAGATGATTAGGGGACTGGAGGCTAAAACATATAAGGAACGGTTGCTGGAATTGGGTATGTCCAGTTTAATGCAGAGAAGGACGAGGGGGGACATGATAGCAGTCTTCCAGTATCTCAGGGGCTGCCCCAAAGAAGAGGCAGTCAAGCTATTCTCCAAAGCACCTGAACGCAGGACAAGAAGCAACGGATGGAAACTAACCAAGGAGAGAAGCAACCTAGAACTAAGGAGAAATTTCCTGATAGTGAGAACAATTAACCAGTGGAACAACCTGCTTCCAGAAGCTGTGAATGCTCCAACACTGGAAGTTTTTAAGAAGAAACTGGACAGCCATTTGTCTGAAATGGCATAGGGCTTCCTGCCTGAGCAAGGGGTTGGACTATGATCTCCAAGGTCCCTTCCAACTTTTATATTATTATTATTATTATTATTATTATTATTATTATTATTATTATTATTATTATTATTATTATTATTATTATTATTATTATTATTATTATTATTATTATTATTATCTTTTATTCATTAAACATGAACCTCAGTCAAATGAACATTCAAATTGGCTGGTGCTGATAATAATAATAATAATAACAACAACAACAACAACAATAATAATAATAATAAAGTTGGAAGGGACCTTGAAGGTCATCTAGTCCAACCCCCTGCTCAGGCAGGAAACCTTATACCATTTCGGACAAATGGCTGTCCATTTGATGATTGACACGGGTTGCTTATTATTATTGTTGTTATTATTCCAAAAGCATGTTTCAAAATTTTCCTGAGCCAGGAACAAGTTTCTAAAGAACAACTCAAAGGCCCAGCTTTCCTCGGACACACCAGAAGCCCTGGGGGAAAAAAAAAACTTGGCTTACCTTTTTGCAGTCTTGGCAAAACACGGCCGCGCTCCCCAGAAACCCCAGACCTTCCCCGCAGAGCAGGCACTGAGTCGACCCGTTCCCCAGGACGTTTTTCTGCATGTTCTCCAGCCGTTCCACAAGGCGCCTGCAAGACAGAGACTCCGTCAGAACAGGCGCCGCTCCGTGGGCTCCAAACATGGTGTGCAAATCGAACAGAAGGATCTAGGACACAGGTGTCAAACTTGTTGCGTCACGTGACGTGTCATATCGTGACTTTTTTCGCATTGCCGGGGCTGGGGTGGATGCGGCCTCTGCATGATGCAACTGGCCCGCAGGTTGGCAGTTTGACACCCCTGATCTAGGACAACTCGCCACAGCCAACTGCGAGAGGGATCTCAGAGTCCTAGTGGACAATCCCTTAAATAGGAGCCAGCAGTGTGCTGCAGCTGCCACAGTGCTAGGCTGCATTAACAGAGGGATAGAATCAAGATCACGTGAAGTGTTAATACCACTTTACAATGCCTTGGTAAGGCCACACTTGGAATACTGCATCCAGTTTTGGTCACCACGATGTAAAAAAGATGTTGAGACTTTAGAAAGAGTACAGAGAAGAGCAACAAAGATGATTAGGGACTGGAGGCTAAAACATATAAGGAACGGTTGCTGGAATTGGGTATGTCTAATGAAGAGAAGGACGAGGGGGGACATGATAGCAGTATTCCAATATCTCAGGGGTTGCCATAAAGAAGAGGGAGTCAAGCTATTCTCCAAAGCGCCTGAAGGCAGGACAAGAAGCAACAGATGGAAACTCATCAAGGAGAGAAGCAACCTGGAATTAAGGAGGAATTTCCTGACAGTGATAACAATTAACCTGCCTCCAGAAGTTGTGGGTGCTCCAACACTGGAGGTTTTTAAGAAGAGAATCGTTTTAAGAACCGTTGTCTGAAATAGTATAGGATTTCCTGCCTGAGCAGGGGGTTGGACTAGAAGATCTCCAAGGTACCTTCCAACTACTATTCTACTCTATAATATTCTATAATGTTCTTTAGAATCTATAATATTTTCTATTCTATTCTGTTCTGTTCTATTCTATTCTGTAATTCAATTCAATTCTATTCTATTCTATTCTATTCTATTCTATTCTATTCTGTAATTCTATTCTATTCTGTTCTATTCTATTCTGTAATTCTATTCTGTAATTCTATTCTATTCTAATTTATCAATTTTCATGAAAACATAGTCAACAAAAATAAAAAGAACTAAGTGAATCCCACGGCGAATTCTCTCATTCAGAAGCCCCCAAATTTCTTCGGCCTTTCTGCTGAGATTCTAAGGGATGAATCTCATTCAGTAAGGCATGCAAGATACAGGGAGTCCTCGACTTACGACCACAACGGAGCCCCAACTTTTTGTTGCTAAGCAAGACGGCTGTTAAATGAATTTTGCCCCATTTTTTTTTTACCTTCCTTGCCACAGCTGTAAAAGGACTCCCTGCCGTCGTTCAGTTGGGAATACGGTTGTTAAGTGAATCTGCCTTTCCCCCACTGGCTTTGCCCGCCAGAAGGTCGCAAAAGCCGATCGTATTTTAACGACTTTTCTTGCCGCAGTCGTTAAATGAATCGCTGCAGCTGTTAAGTTAGTGACATGGTTGTTAAGTGAATTCTGGCTTTCCCCGTTGACTTTGCTCGGCATAAGGTCACAAAATGGGATCGCATGACCTCCCAGGACACTGCAACCGTCATAAGTACATGCCAGTTGCCAAGCATCTGAATTTCGGTCATGTGACCACAAGGATGGTGCAACGGTCGTATGTGTGAAAACGGTCCTAAGTCCTTTTTTCCGTGCTGTTGTAATTTTGAATGGTTACCAAACGAACGTAAACCGAGGAGTACCCGATGTGTTTTTTTCCTTTTCTTTGACAATGCATATCTTTTTAAATCCTCATTATATTTTAAAAGAAAGTTATAGAACTTCGAAAGAAAACAGCCCATCCTAACCCAGGCACGATTAAGGCTGCAGATAAACAAGCTACCGTATCTTCATCTCCAGTTCTCACCATCGGGACGTGTGAATTGGACGGGAACTTTAAGCACCATCGGTAAACTGCGAATGTGCTAGACTTGGCGGCTTATTTCCTGCAAACCAGGGCTAATCTTTGCTACTTTCCTCAAATCCCTCTTGCCCGATTTAATGCCACCGACCTTGAAAGTTAAAAGGTTTCCAAATCCTTTAGCAGGCAGATAAAAGAGATAAATAGCTTTCATCCAAACACCCAGACAATGACAAAAGGAATGAGTTACTGGATTTTATTTTATTTTTTAAAAAATCTATTTTTTTTAAAAAAATCCAGTTAGGAACCGGTTGCAATGGAGTCGGCCCACCAGGAAATTCAGTCACTTTATCCTCGCCCAAAATACAGTTTTTCAGGGACTTAGAAAGTAGAAAAGAATATAGGCTCCTCGCGGTAGTGACATCAATGGCTAAAGATTTTTCAGCAGTAAATCTTAGGTGTTTTTTAACTTTAAGATTGTAATTCATTTGAGAACTGTCATCCAGGCTGCAATTTTTTTTTTTAAAAAAAAGGTTCAAAGAATACAGAGCATTAACCCCGCTGAGGGCTGCAGGATTATTATCTCAATTATTTCCAGAAGGTGGAAAACCGGCTACAAAATTCAGCTTGGCCATTTATCTTTCAACCAGAACAAGCCTGTGACCTCACCTGACAAGACAAACACTGGGCGCTATCTAACAAAATGAAATTTTCAATGGTGAAAAAAGTAAGGTTCTACATTTAGGCAAAAAAAACCCCAAATGTACAGGTATAGTAGGTGGTACCTTGCTCAATAGTAGCAACTGTGAGAGGGACCTCGGAGTCCTAGTGGACAATCCCTTAAACATGAGCCAGCCGTGTGCTGCAGCTGCCAAAAAAGCCAACACAGAGCTGGGCTGCATTAACAGAGGGAGAGAATCAAGATCACGTGAAGTATTAATACCACTTTACAAGGCCTTGGTAAAGCCACACTTGGAATACTGCATCCAGTTTTGGTCACCACGATGTAAAAAAGATGTTGAGACTCTAGAAAGAGTGCAGAGAAGAGCAACAAAGATGATTAGGGGACTGGAGGCTAAAACATATAAGGAACGGTTGCTGGAATTGGGTCTGTCTAGTTTAATAAAGAGAAGGACGAGTGGGGACAGGATAGCAGTCTTCCAATATCTCAGGGGCTGCCCCAAAGAAGAGGGAGTCAAGCTCTTCTCCAAAGCGCCTGAAGGCGGGACAAGAAGCAACGGATGGAAACTAACCAAAGAGAGAAGCAACGTAGAACTAAGGAGAAATTTCCTGACAGTGAGGACTATTAACCAGTGGAATGACTTGCCTCCAGAAGTTGTGAATGCTCCAAGACTGGGAGTGGAGGCTTTGTGGTCACTAAATGAACTGTTTAAGTCGAGGACTACCTGTGTTTGTCTAGATAACACAATAAAAGGCTTATAAAACTTATGAATGGAGTATGAAGGTTTTGCAGAGGCTCTAACATTAGCAGCAGGAAGGATGCTTGCCTTCGGAAAAAATACCTGAATTAAAATTTTTATTTTTTTTTAAAAAAAAGGGGGTGGGGTGGGTTAGGGAGGGACACTCAGGATAACAAATAAAAAAAGACTTTTTCTGTGGAAGATTTCTAGGTTTCCAAGACCTCGACAGGGCAGGGAGAGGTTGAGAAAATAATCTCAGGTGTGCATGTCATCATTGCAGAAAGGACACAATTGTATATTATTATATCATTGACACAGTAATGCCACAGTGAAAAGAGGCCTTTGGGACTTATATATGGGACCTGGGATTGCAAAACACAAAATTGATGTGTCTCAGTAGATGAACTGCTCACTAAACCTGGGTTTGGGCATTATCTGAAGCGACATATATCTGGAGTTTATTGGATGGAGTTTACAGGTCATGCAATCGATTAAGGCAAAAGCAGACAAATTATACTCGCGGTCTAAGCCACTGTTTCTCAACATTGATAACTTTAAGAAGGGTGGATTTCAGCTCCCAGAATTCCCCAGGCACCATGCTTCAAGAGGGGTGGGCTTCCACTCCCAGAATACCCCATCCAGCATGTTTTAAGAGGGGTGGGCTTCAACTCCCAGAATTCCACAGCCACCATGCTTTAAGAGGGGTGGACTTCATCTCCCAGAATTCCCCAGGCACCATGCTTCAAGAGGGGTGGGCTTCCACTCCCAGAATACCCCATCCAGCATGTTTTAAGAGGGGTGGGCTTCAACTCCCAGAATTCCCCAGCCACCATGCTTTAAGAGGGGTGGGCTTCAACTCCCAGAATTCCCCAGCCACCATGCTTTAAGAGGGGTGGGCTTCCACCCCCCCCCCAGAATTCCCCAGCCACCATGCTTTAAGAGGGGTGGACTTCCACTCCCAGAATTTCCAGCAAGTTTTAAGAGGGGTGGATTTCAATTCCCGAAATTCCCCAGCCAGCTAATAATGCCAAAGACTTTAAGCTTAAATCCATATATTTTAAATTTACTAAGGTTGAGAAATAATGATGTAGTCACTAGACAGACAGACAGACAGATAGATACAGAGAGAGAGAGAGAGAGACAAGAGTGGATGGATGGATGGATGGATAGATGGATGGATAGATGGATGGATGGATGGATGGATGGATGGATGGATGGATGGATGGATGGATGGATGGATGGATGGATGGAGAGAGACAGACAACAGATAAATAGATATGGATGGGTGGGTAGATAGACAGGCGGACGGAGAGAAAGAGACAGACAGACAGGGAAAGAGGCAGAGATAGAGGAAGAGTGAAAGAAACAGAGGCAGACAGATTGATATGGAAAGAGGCAGAGAGAGGGAGGGAGGGAGGGAAAGAAATAGACAGAAAGATAGCTAAAGAGGCAGAGACAGAGGGAGAGGGAGAAAGAGAGGCAGGCAGACAGACAGATACCCAATTCTCTGCTGCTCGATTATGTCCAGCTTCTCAGCTCTTCGGATGACCGCCAGAATGACCTCCATTTCCTTCGAATCCAGCGCCTGCATCTTCCTCTGACGGTCCGTCTGGAAAGTGTGCACCGACCAGCCACTGTGAAGCCTGCAAAGGAAACAAGGCAGTTTTGAATTTTGTTTTTCAGCCAATTGGGGTTTTCTGTTCCTTTAAACGCAGCATTTGCATATCTAAAGGCGGATTGGCTCAAATTTTAGTTTTAATGAACGTTTTTAGGGGTTTTAAGAAGAGACGGGACATCCATTTGTCCAGAAGGTCATAGGGTCTCCTGCTTGAGAGGGGGTTGGACTAGAAGACCTCTAAGGTCCCTTCCAAGCTCTGTGCTTCTGATAAAACCACCTCACGGTCACATGATCAAAATTCAATCACTGGGCAACTGGCATGTACTTACAACGGTTGCAGTGTCCCGGGGTCACGTGATCTCCTTTTGCGACCTTATCACAAGCATAGCCAATGGGGAAGCCAGATTCACTTAATGACGGAGGCGAGAAAGGTTGTAAAACGGGGCAAAACTCACTTAACAAGCTCGCTTAGCAGCGGAAATTTTGGGCTCAAATTGTCGTAAGTCGAGGGCTATGTATAGATACTCTCCAAGACCGATGCCCACCTTACAGTGTACAGTTCTACAAGCCAGGTTGAGGATGTTCCCCTGAATGTGAAATGATTCTGCTTATCAACATTAAAGGATTAAAGCAGGGGTCTTCAAACTTGGCAACTTTAAGACTTGTGAACTTCAACTCCCAGAATTCCTCAGCCAGCCAGTCAGCCAGCTTGTGGATTTCAACTCCCAGAATTCCTCAGCCAGCCAGTCAGCCAGCTTGTGGGACCAACTCCCAGAATTCCTCAGCCAGCCAGTCAGCCAGCTTGTGGACTTCAACTCCCAGAATTCCTCAGCCAGCCAGTCAGCCAGCTTGTGGACTTCAACTCCCAGAATTCCTCAGCCAGCCAGGGCTGGCTGAGGAATTCTGGGAGTTGAAGTCCACAAGTCATAAAGTTGCCAAGTTTGAAGACCACTGGATTAAAGGACGGAAAAATGACGGATCCACCTACTTGGCGCGGAGAGCCAGGTGCCGGTCGTTGGGACACACCCACTGGTCATTGCCACTGCCAAAAATGGTTTCCGCCATGGATTGGTCAGCCCTGGGGCCTACACCAGGCAGGGTCAAACCTGCAGAGACAGAGAGAGAGAGAGATTATTTTGGAGAAAAAGTTGATTTTTCCAAATTTTTACAAACCAAGTTTTACACAGAAGGGCAGGAAGTCCTCGACTTATGACCGTAATTGGGTCCAAAATTTCCATCGCTCAGTGAGACACTTGTTAAGGGAGTTTTGGCCCGTTTTACGACCTTTCTTGCTATAGTTGCTAAGTGAATCACTGCAGTTGTTAAGTTAATTATACGGTTGTTAAGTGGATATGGGTTCCTCCATTGACTTTGGTCACAAAAGGTGATCATGTGGACCCGGGACACTGCGACCGTCACAAAAGGGGATCATATGACCCCGGGACATTGTGATCATCATAAATGCGAATCCTTTGCCTTGGTCACAAAAGGGGATCACATGACCACGGGACACTGCGATCGTCATAAATACGAGTCATTTGCCTGGGTCACAAAAGGGGATCACATGCAACCGTCATAAATGCGAGTCATTTGCCTTGGTCACAAAAGGGGATCACATGACCCCGAGACACTACGACTGTCATAAATACGAGTCAGTTGCCTGGGTCACAAAAGGGGATCACATGCAATCGTCATAAATGCAAGTCATTTGCCTTGGTCACAAAATGGGATCACATGACCCCAGGACACTGCAACCGTCATAAATGCGAGTCATTTGCCTTGGTCACAAAAGGGGATCACATGACCCCGGGACACTGAGACCGTCATATATACAAGTCAGTTGCCAAGCGGCTGAATTTTGATCACGTGACCACAGGGATGCTGCAACGGTCGTAAGTTTGAAAAACCATCATCAATCAATTTTTTTAGTGACATAAGTTCGAACGGTCAGTAAACGAATGCTCGTAAGTCGAGGACTGCCTGTGTTGTTACCAGAAAGGCAACGTGCATGTATGTTTGTTTGTTCAGGTTCTGACTTTCTCAGTATGTTTTTCCTGCAGTGTAGAAAAATATATTCTCACATAATCTTTCTTTAAAAAAAAAACAAAAAACACTGTTTAAAGTTTTCCTGTCATCCAGGAAAGGTCAAGGCCTCACCCGAGCACTATCGAAAATACAAATAGTTTGTCTTTGGCCTCTTTTGCAGACAGGAAAAAGCATATTTCTCCAGTCTCTTATGTTCCCAGGGCGAAAAAGGCTCCATGAATCAGCCACTGATTCCCAGCACCAAATGTGCAGCCCTCCATCACGCAAGACGAAGACTGGAGGGTTGTGGTACTTACAACATGCCAGAATTTAAAGCAGGGTTTCTCAGATTTGGCAACTTTAAGATGGGTGGACGTCCATGCCCAGAATTGCCCAGTTAGCATGCTTTAAAGTGGTGGATTTCCACTCCCAGAATTCCTCAGTCGGCATGCTTTAAGATGGGTGGGCTTCCACACCCAGAATTCCCCAGTCAACATGTCTTAAGATAGATGGACTTCAACTCCCAGAATTCCCCAGACAGAAAGCACCTGAAGGCAGGACAAGAAGCAACGGATGGAAACTAATCAAGGAGAGAAGCAACCTAGAACTAAGGAGAAACTTCCTGACAGTGAGAACAATTAATCAGTGGAACAACCTGCCCCCAGAAGCGGTGAATGCTCCAACACTGGAAGTTTTTAAGAAGAGACTGGACAGCCATTTGTCTGAAATGGTATAGGGTTTCCTGCCTGAGCAGGGGGTTGGACTAGATGACCTCCAAGGTCCCTTCCAACTATTGTTGTTGTTGTTGTTATTATATTCCCCAGCCAGCATGCTTTAAGATGGGCGGACTTCAATCTCCCAGAATTCCCCAGTTAGTATACATTAAGATGGGAGGACTTCAACTCCCAGAATTCCCCAGCCAGCATGCTTTAAGATGGGCGGACTTCAATCTCCCACAATTCCCCAGCCAGCAGGCTTTAAGAGGGATGGACTTCGTTTCCCAGAATTCCCCAGGCAGCGTCGGCTGGGAAACACTGGTCAAAACCCGCAACAGAAGCACAGACTAACTTTCCAACCCATCTTATCTGTCCTAGCAATTGGGGCCCAGGACAATGGAGGGCAAACCTTCCATTTCGAACTGGGTGCCCAATTTATTTCCCTAAAAAGCCCTCTGCCCATGGAAAATAAAACTGCACAAGGCTGTAGTCCTCTTGAGAAGTGCAGTGCAAGCTTAAGAGTGTATAGGGCTAGAGATGGTTTCATCTTGAGGGAGAAACTGGCAGAATTCTACTCAGCTTCTTATGACTTTCGTTATTTTACCCCCCATTTTAACATGGTAAGCTGCCCAGAGTCACCTTGTGGTTGAGATGGGTGGTATATAAATTTAATAAATAGTTATGACCTGCTTCGTCGCAACGTCCCATGGGCTCCTCTCATGACCACGCCTCAAAATGGCCTCTGTTTTAATAGGGGCCTTTAGCAGCCTCACCCGGCCGTTATTTATTTCTCAGTGGGCCTTTTATTCCCAAAGGAGGCGGATGAGGCATTCTTGGAAATAAACAGGATGCTGAAGGATGGAGTCCAGCAAGCCAGCTTCCACTGACTTTTAAACTCAAAGGGAAGTTAGTAGAAACTGAGGTCAGAATAAAGGAGAGGCTGGCCTTTATTTTTGGAATTAAGAGGCTTGCAAGGAAGACCCACTGGCCAGAAAATCAAGACGCATGAGTCGCCCAGTGGAGAAAGGGGCCCATCCAATTAATTTTGCATGGTTTGTCTCTATGCCACATTGGTGTAGATAGAATGTATTAGTTTTGAGATATTAGACGTCCTGACTTTGACTGGGGACCTCTTATAATTCTCATGATTTGAATCTCTTTTGGTTTTTACAGCAGGTGGTAGGAGGGAGGAAGGAAGAAAGGAAGGAAAAGAGGGAGGGGAGGGAAGAAAGAAAAGATAGATAAAGAAAAAGAAAGAANGAGGGAGGGAAGAAAGAAAAGAAAAAGAAAGAAAGAAGAGAGAGAGAGAGAGAGAAAGAAAGAAAGAAAGAAAGAAAGAAAGAAAGAAAGAAAGGAGGGAGGAAAGGAAGGAAAAAGGGAAAGAGGGAGGGGAGGAAAGAAAGAAAAGATAAAGAAAAAGAAAGAAGAGAAAGAGAGAGAGGAAAGAAAGAAAGAAAGAGGAAGGAAGGAAGGAAGGAAGGAAGGAAGGAAGGAAGGAAGGAAGGAAGGAAGGAAGGAAGGAAGGAAGGAAGGAAGGAAAGAAAGAAAATGGGAGGTAGGGAGGAGGAATAGAGGGAAGTGATAAAAGGAAAGAGGGAAGGAAGAAAGGAAAGACAAGAATGGAAAAAAGAAGAGAAACAAAAATAGAAAAAAGGAACAGGAAGGGATGGAGGGAAGGAGGGAGGGAGGATATGAAATAGGGAGGAGGAAAGAAGGAAAGGAAGAGAGGGAGGTCAGAAAGAAGGCCAGGTAAATAAGGCGAAAGGAAGGAGGGAGGCAGGGACAAAAAGAAAGGTAGGGCAATACCAACTGGAGAACTTTAATCCATCCAGAACAAACTCCAGGCCTGGTTTTGCACCTACCCCACCCCAGCTTCCTTGCCAATACCTTGGGTAACTTTGATTATGCCAGGAAGCAACCATGGCAACCTGGACAAACAGCCCTGGTTGCTAGGAAGAGGCCACAGCAACAAGCAGCCAGGAGATTAGGGTGAAGGACCAGATATCCTGCCCCCCTCCCCCCCACCTTGCTCACATGAAATGGCACCTCCAGGTGTTTGGACTGCAATTCCCAGAATTCCCCAAGAGGTGGAAAGCTAGGGATTCTGGGAGTTGCAGTCCCAAAGGCTCACTAATTCTGAAATATACCTCACGGGGACAAGACAAGCACCGCCTTTCTATTCATCTCTCCATGACTTTACATGGAAACCTCGCACCCAAGTCCTGAACACATTTGTTTTTATAACTTATTTACCTACACGTAGTCCTCGCTTTACAACCGTTCATTTGGTGACCGAAGTTACGACGGCACTGAAAAAAGTGACTTAGGATCATTTTTCAGGCGACCGGTGCAGCATCCCCAGGGTCATGTGATCAAAATTCAGGCGCTGGGCAACTGTAGAGATTCACTTAACAGTCATGGGGATCCCATGACCGTGGGGATGCTGCAATCATCCAAAATATACCCTGGTTGCTAAGAAACCTGAATTTTGATCACGTGGCCACGGGGATGCTGCAGTCGTTAAGTGGGAAAACCGGTCATAAGTCACTTTCTTGAGGGCTGTTGTCATTTTAAATACCGTATTTCCCCCCAAACAAGACAGGATCTTATATTAATTTTTGCTCCAAAAGAGGCATCAAGGCTTATTTTCCGGTTAGGGCTTATATTCGGGGAAATACAGTACTAAATGCATCCATTTGGCTAACTATCTTAACTGGGGCTTATTTGGGGGGATGGGGCTTATATTAATCACACTAGAGCAGGGGTAATCAACCTTGGCTCTTTTATGGCTTGTGGACTTCAACTCCCAGAATTCCTGAGCCAGCATGGGGGAACTATGGCCCCCTTTATGACTCGTGGACTTCAACTCCCAGAATTCCTGAGCCAGCATGAGGGAACTATGGCCCCCTTCATGACTCGTGGACTTCAACTCCCAGAATTCCTGAGCCAGCATGAGGGAACTATGGCCCCTTCATGACTCGTGGACTCCAACTCCCAGAATTCCTGAGCCAGCAGGGCTCAGTATGGAAACCTCTCCATTTCTCCTCAGCATGGCTGGCTCAGGAATTCTGGGAGTTGAAGTCCACAAGTCATAAAAGAGCCAAGGTTGCCTACCCCTGCTGCTAGGGCTTATTTTCCGGTTGGGTTTTATTTTCAGGGAAATACGTTAGTCATAAGTGAATGGTTGTTAAGTCAAGCATGATTTGCGCACACTCTCTGGATGTACCACAAATCAACCAGACAAATCAGCCCAAACCACCTTCCTTGAAAAAGAAGTCACAAAGTGGGGGGGCTTCAGGCCCCACAGGGCATTCCTCCCCCCCACACACACTTTACACTCTAAACCACA